CACGTGGAAACTAATTTCTGGGATCTGCCAACTGCTGGGAGGCACAGTGGCAATTAACTCACCCACCCTCTGGGGACCACAGTGCCACCAGCAAGTGTTTTAGTTCCTAACTGCTGATTACTTTTCACAGGCAGTGAACAATGGGATGAAAACCAACACTCTTAAAGTGGCATTAAAAGATCATCTTCTTCTTTAGTGTAGTTTTCAAGAGTCCCTCCAGCACTGGTGCGGGTCTCTGATCCAGCGCTGACTCCTCTGATGTCCCACGGAGTCTGTGCGGGTGCGCAGTTTGAACTGTGAAAGCGCCCGCCCCAAGATCCTTTGCGGCCACCCGAGACTCTTCAGATGTTGGGACGGGAGCGCACGGCGAAGACACAGGAAAGTTTAAACCTGTTTGAAAAGTTTTAGTTTTTTTAAAGTTTTTGCATATATCTACTGCTTGCTAGCAGTAGATAAATGCAAAAACACGTGAGGCTTTAATAATACTTTAATACTTTTCACCACGACTACAGCTGTCTTCAAAAGATAGACCTAATACTGTATATGAAAAGCTGATGTTTATTTCAGTAAAGGTTATAAAATACCTCTTTACTGCTTGAAAGCACAACTCATTTGTCCATACATAAACATGCAGTTTCAGGAAGGGGTTAATATATGTTGCTTTGTACAAATACATAAGGCACCTTGTTATGTCTGTTTGTGGCTCGTTCTTTTTTTTTAGCCGAGCTTCAGGTATGCACTAACTTGTATACAAAGAATCCATAATTAATAAGCTACGTCTGTAAACACTTACTGCTAATCAGCTGCACTTTTATACTTTATTTACATGGATGTTAATTAATAATAAAAAAAAATTGTAACTGTTTACATGAAAACATTTAAGTACAGAGTACTCAAAACCAAGCTTTACTTGTTTATGGTTGTAGGTCCTGTTTATATGATTACTACCTGATGAGAAACCACATCAGTAAAATGTATATTACACTGCCAAATAATTTTCATTAAGCCTCATTAAGTCATTATTACAAATATGCTACAGGGAGTTTACTAATGCTCTCTGCTGTTAGTGAGGCTGCGGACATATTGTAGAGCAGTCTATTACAGTACTCAAACAGTGAATGTAATTGTTAGCTGGGCACTGTAGAGAGAGAGAATACATGCCTTGATTTAAAGTGACTGTGCAATTTCACTTCCATTTATTAAATTATACTACACAAGACAATTAGTATGAGCTAGATTATAAAAGCAATTGATTTTCTTTTTTTATGCAGCAAGAAAAAAATATGCGAAGAATAATCAAACCATAGGGGCTATAGACCTTTGATACTCATGGATTTGGGAATGTAAAATATAATTCTG